AATTCTTATATATAAATTATCAATTCAAAATCTATATGTACATATGTATGTAAATACATAATATATGTATATAAACACATATATGTAAATTCTATGTCATATACAAATAATATATTTACAAATTTTAATTGGTCAAATTATAGAACTCATTTTTTTGAATAAAGGTGAGTAATGTTTTGTTACGATGCAAAAAAGAATAAATAATATAACAAATGAAAAATAAATGTTATGTCTATAGTATTATAATATGAATCATAACAGAAAAAATATACAAATGTCCACAAATATAACAGTTCCCAACCTAACAAAGAAAATACATCACTGAGTACGTTGCTTACTTCTCCTGTATACAAGAAGTTTTCATCTTTTTAGTGTCTTGTCTAAATGCTTTCTATGTTCTGAATACGCACTTTTGCTGTGCTGTATGACTTATACCACAACATGGCTTGCAACTTCATTCTCAGATTTTACTTATACCCTTCACAGGAACTTTGTAGCCTTCTGTGTCCTTCAGACCATGGTGAAGAGTCTGCAGGTCTTTGAGATTGACTATAAAATTGGTCTTCATTTCTATGTAAGAATTATGAAGAAGTAATCTGCTTTTAAGCCCACTCTGTGCTACAGAACCTCTGAAAGGCAGCTTCCGCAAAGATTAATAGTTTCATCTTGGCTTTGGTGACAGAAGGCTTGGCTTAGAATGGTATTACCCACTAGTAGACTTCTGTACATTCCTTTTCCTAGCAGCATCCTTAAATCTATGTGGATGATGCTAGTACATAGATCCTGATATTAGTGTCAAATACAGATCATGGATGGAGGCATGGCATCAATCTGCTGAAGACTGTTTGCAGACCCTAGAGTATGTGGTAATAATGTACTATCTTGGCATTAGGCTTTTCATCAGTAGGGCATCAGCACCCTAGCAGCAGGTAGACATGGATGTTACCAACTTCCCCCACAAGAACCTATCTTCAGGTTTATGAAAACATTTTAGCTGGTGCTCACATCAAATAAAATTGTCACAGATATAAATAAACTAGATTCCATTCTCACGGTTAGAATCTGTGCAAACCTGGGGTTCAGACCTTTATGACAGCACCATCTCAGCCTGGTCAGTATGGAGAAGGGTTTCCTTTCTCATCCTGATTCATTCAATAAGTGAAACTGAGATTGCTTTCAAAACACATTTTACAGCCCATAACCTTAAATATTCTGGATATTTCCCTGAATGTTTATGATCATGGGGGGTGGTGACAGCAGAGTTTAAATAATTTTATCTCTCTCCTTCTGAAACCTCAGTCTTCCTCTCTGTTTCCTGGTGAAGCTTCTGAGGACTAAGCAAGCTCAACAGTAAATCCTATGAGTGCTCTTTGTTTTCTGCCTAAATAAATTAAATTCTAAAAGTTTGAGACAGAGCACTTATCAAGGTATAGTGTGATTGCCTGATTCTTTTATGCATCCCCTTCAAATTGCAAACTCCATGGGGGTAGCCACAGCTGATGACTTTTCAACATTGTACGCATTGTTGTGCCCATCAGAGTTGGAGGGCACACTACACACTCAGATGTTCAGTGAATTCATTGTTGATAAACAAATTGATCCAAATGCAGATTTGTACCCATGTTGTATCCTCTGGGTTTAATCAAGACAGAAGAGTTAATACTATCCATTTTCAAGACTTCTACTCTACATATATCTATATATTATGCATGTGCACAATAAATACGCATACACACAGATGCTCTCATATGTACAACAGACAATATTTATGTAAGAAGACCTTCTAGAAAGGCCCCCAAATACCTTACTTGAGCCTTTGTATTATTTATTTCCTTTTAAAAATATTGGGTCAAAAAATATTGTGTCAACACTTGCTATCTTGGAGAAATACACAGGCTCAAATTTATAGAAAAACAGTTTCAGTGAAATATTTTCAACAATATAATTAAATCAAGAAAGAAGTATTCAAGTATTATAATATGTTAAAATCATGTAGTGAAAATTCAATAATATCTTCTCAATTACATATTTTATGGCTTTAAATGGCCTTGATATTTACAACTAACATATTTTTAAGTTACTTATATAAATACATATTACTCTGGGAAAGAATTAAAAGGTTTTCCCAAATACTTCATGCATTTTAAAATATCCAAATATCCAAAAATATATTTGATGATTGTTGAAAATACATCTTGTTAATCCTCTGTGATTTTTTTGCTTGGTAAATATGCATTTGAATATGTACAAACAGAAATAGCAGACAAGATTTTTGATTCATATAGTTTGGCTAAAAATTCACAGCATAGTGTATCTTGAATGTGAATTGTGCTTTTTTGTTTTCAATATACTATGACGTGTGCGCCCCTGTAGAACCATGGAAGAAGTCTTGTTCTTTATGTACAGTTATCTACACTTTACAAACAAGGTAGATGGCTGACCAACCCAGTCTACATAAAATGTGATGGATTAAAAACTTAAATATAAGCCTTCATTGTTTTAGTTTATAAAATTCTGCTGTAGGAGCAGAGTGAAGAACAGATACTCTGGTCTCATGTTAAATGCCTGCAGGTCGAGATGAATTTTAAGGTGGTTAGTGCCTCCATGAACACGGTCCTATTTTGCTTTTCTGTTGAAAGAATGTAGCATGCTGCTGTGATCATTTCTTCCTGAAGAAGCTTTGTGTACTTTTAGCCTTTTGCTTGGGAAGATAAATGAGCTCACTTCAGGGTAGGCACTATAGGCAGATGGTTGAAATTCAGGAAAGCGTTTCTATGCATTCAACGGAGTGTTTCTGACAGTCCGTTTCTGCATGGGTAGCCTCAAAGGGAGTGGATGAATGGAAATAGAAAGAAAGATTGTTTATGGAGAGGAAATGAAAGGGATTAGCCTCTATTCAGGCCAGAAAGGTGACCCAGATTTCTCATACTAGGATGTATACATGGATGGGTATATCTAAAAAAAAAAAAAAAAAAACAGAGAAAAATGTTTTGGCTCCCTGGCCCGATTTTAGTTCCCAGCTGGCTTACATCTATTATTTTTTGAAGAGGTTTTTCTGATCTCAGAAGGGGCTCTTGTTTAATGCGAGTCCCAGGTGCTGTCTTGTCACAGCGTCAGATGGTCACACAGAGGGCCCCAGCCTTGGTTACTCAGCACCCCAACCTCTACAGGCTGCTTCCCGGGCCTTTGCATTTAAATAAGCAAGCATGCAATCTGAGGCTCACTTGCAATCCTCACTTTCAGTAACTGTTTCTCTGTTAGGAAACTAAAAATTAACTCTTTGTACCATACAAATAAAAACAGAACAAACAAAAAACCCTGTGATCCCACAGATACTCTCTTTATAAAGTGGCTGAAAAAAAGAATAATGTGATAAAAAACCTTATAATTCCTATGATTGTGCACTATTAAGTGTTCTTTGGGTTCTGTCTGTGTGATTCTTTGTCTATGCACATCACACACGTGTGTGGACATGTGCATGTGTGTCTTCTATCTCCCTGAGCAAACAAGCATTTAGTTTGTTGGAGGTTTTCAGCACTGCTCATCAGAAAAAAAAAAATCTCCTATGGTTGATCAGTATTACTTTTTGAATAAAGATATTTTAAAATAATTCATTTGTCCAGTTGTGGTTTAAAAACAGCAGCCTGATACTTATTGATGTCTCTGAAGTGATCCTCTAAACACTTTCTGGCAATGGATCTGTCAGCATCTTCTTTACAATATAAACAGTGAACAGGGCAAAATAAGACCTTCGGGAATCCATGAGCTCAAGGTCCCAGAATTGCAGATGACCTTAACCCACTGTTACACTTCATCAGGCTGCAATCTGTTGTGGTAGGTTAAATGCAAAAAGAACATACATGGATATAAATAAAGGAAAACATCCAGAGGCTTGTCCAGGGCTTCAGACCCAGGCAAACATCTTAGTTATCGTTATTCAATGATTCATAGACATGCATACACAGTATCTCCTGTACTGAAAACGTAGTACTTTCCCGCCTTCCTTCTCTCAGGAAATATCAAGGCAATCTCTTCAACTGTGAATATTAGAAATATAAAGGTTTCTATAATTTTGTGGCCCATGCAAGAATGAATTTCCAAATCCAGTATCATGATATTTCTCCATGTAAGCTTTTGCTTTTTGTTTGTTTGTTTAGACATATTTATTTTATTTTTATGTGTAGAATGTTTTGCTTGCATGTATGTATGTGCACCATGTGTGTTCCTGAAGCCTACAGAAGTCAGAAGAGGACATCAGATCTCCTGGAACTGGAGTTACATACAGTTGGTTGTGAGCCATCATGTGAGTGCTGGAAAAAGAACATGGGTTTTTTGGAAGAAAAAAGGCTCTTATCCACCAAACTACTGTAGGAGGAAAGAGCTGCTTGTTGGTTCCCGCTGCCCAGAACCAAAATAATCAGAATAATAATACAGAAACTGTATTATTTAAATCACTACTTGGCCCATTAGCTCTAGCTTCTTATTGGCTAACTCTTACATGTTATTTAACCCATCTCTATCAATCTGTGTATTGTCACATGGCTGTGGCTTACTGGCTAAAGTTCTGTCTGTCTACATGGCTTCTAACTCTGCCTTTCTTCCTCCTAGCATTCAGTTTAGTTTTCCCTGCCTAGCAGGCTCAAGAAAGTTTCTTTATTAAACAATGGTATTCACAGCATACAGGGGGAATCCCACATCAAACTACCTCTCTAGCCCTGCCTGGCTTATCACTCCTGACATAGGTCAGATAGGCCTCAGACTCCCAGAGCCCCACCCGTCTCTGTCTCTCCAGGGCTGGGATCAGAGGTGTGTGTCACCACACCTAGCATTCTAAGACATTTATAGATTTCACTATTAACTCTGTTATATTCTTTGCTTTCTTCATATATTATTTAAATAACTTATCAGTAACTTAGAGTGTCTTTTTACAAAATTTCAAATTCAACTCCAGATTTTCCTGTGGAAAACTCATAAGCGAAACTTTGTCTTATGCTTTTCAGAAGATGCTTACAAAACCCAGGTGAGGATTGACAATGAGCCTGCTTACTTAGACATCTTGGACACCGCTGGTCAGGTAGGTGATGTTTTATTTTTAATAATACTTGTTTTATTTTTGAAAGTATAATATAATTACATTATTTCCCCTTCCTTTTTCTCTCTTCAGCACCTCCCAAGCAACCCTCCCCAACTCTCTCTCAGATTCCTTTCCTTTAATTATTGCTTAGATCATATGTTTAATAAATCTGACCAATATCAGATAAGTTTGTGTTTAGCTTCTTGCACACTGACTGTAAAATAGATGACTTCAACGCTTCAAACAGAAAAAATTAGCAATATCAATAGTAGACTAAAGATGAAAAATAATTGATTTGAAAAGGTAAATCACATTTAAATCACATTTAGACTTGATAGTCTAAGTATAAAATTACACATTTAATTACTGCATTGCTAATGAAATTACAAAATCAAGAAAATAGCTTCTTATTTTTACTCAAATGTAGAAATTCTGTCTGAAAGCAGGAAAGGGAGGAGTGTAAATGATGTAAATATGGTGCACCAATGTGTATAATTCTCAAAAAAATGAAACAGGAACAAAATAAACAGAATAAAAGTACTCTAGAATAATTATAAGAAGAAATATGAAGAAATACATCTCTGATATGCATGTCAAATGTCTTGCTGAGTAGGAGGGTGAATGCTTGATTTAACTTTATACTTTACAGATGATTGTTAAAATAAACCTGTGTATTAAGAGCCAGGTACAACCCATAACATAAAAATTGAAAATAAGCAGAGTAAGGAGAGAAGTCGACATAAGAAGGTTTTAATGCACAAAAAAAAGGCCCAAAAGATAAGGTAAGAAACCCATGTGCATAGTATGTAAGCAAACCAGAAATCACAGTGAATGGAAATACATATTCTTGTGCTGGAACAGGTGGCAACCATCAGTGGTTTATTAAACAGAAGCCAGTCTCACCTATATTTATTGAGAAGGTATGGAGTGAAGCAGAACTTGGGGGCAGTCCACTTGTCTAGAGTGGAAATGGCCCATGTCGCCCATAAACAAAAGGGAAAATGAGCTAAACTTTACAACCTCGTCAGAGGATAGATTTTTCATTTCAAAGCAATTTTGGATACAAAAGTGACATTTTGTAGTAATAAAAAAGCACACACCTTTAAAATTCTAATTTTAATATTAAGGCCAAATGGTGAGCCAAATTTAAAGAGAACAATTATAAAATCATAAAAATTCTGGATTACATCAGAAGTCATTGGGGTTGAGACTCTGTTGTGCACACAGGTTTTCTCTTTCCATTATTTTTGAACTTAAAGATTCAAAACTTGCATATACAAGTTACAGAGGTACATTTGATCCCAGAATCAATCAATAAATAAAGTATAAAATTTCATCTCTTTGGTATAGCTGCTTTTGAATGACTGTAGATATTAGGGTGTTGATGGTGAGCAATACACTAGAATTGACAATCAATTTCTGTATTATGAATTGTATGCTAACCAACCCATTTGTTTCTAGGGACTTTGAATAATGAACTAATGGAGAAACTTCTAAAGACTTTGGGGACATTAAATTGGAAATTTATCTCAATGATTCAGAAGGACATTCTTATATACAACAAAGTACACCAATTTTCAGGAGAACTGGAAGCCTAACTGGAGAAAAACAGAGTAGGCTAAATTCCAGTCAAAGAAATGAGGCATTTTAAAATATAATTACCTTCAACCACCCAAATAGTTATTTTGATAAGTCGATTCAACAGAACTGAAAATTTCGATTAGAAATGTGTTTTACAGAATGTGAATCCCTCGCCCTTCATTTGTTGAATGAAAAGGTTGGTTCTCTTCTTCACTGGTCATAGGCTTGGTCATGTTATCACAGATAATGTTGTTTTATTGGAGGGTCAGTTTGTCCGTGGACTTTCTCGCACTGTTCTGCTAGTTCCCTAAGAGAAGAACATGTTTTAGACAACCTCTGGTCTACAAAAGAGAAGGAATCAGGGAGAGGGCCTAAACTCATGAGCAATGCGAATCAGATCCGGCTTCACCCAGATCTGTTCCCATTGCTGCACAGATTGGTGAACTAGACGATCATAGCATTATTGCTTCATACTTTGTTATATGCTACTATTTTTCAGCTGATCAGCACGACATATAAATGGACTATGTTTTGTTCAGTATAAATGGAGGAAGAGCATAGTATCAATCTGGGGGCCAAGTGGTGAGCAATGAAAAGTACTGAGACTCTGATAATACTGAGAAACCTGGGGGTATACAATTCAATAGAAAAGGGTGTTAAATCTATACGCCACTACATACTTGTCAAGCCAGGTATTAACTGTACCCAAACATAGTCAGGAGTACATAATGCTAAGCAGATGGTGATATGTTAGCTTCTACACTATTATTAAACCTGCTCACACAGGAGGCGGTCTATGCAGCTGATTGAACAGAAATTATATCTCTGTAGGGGACATGTGAGAACACTCCTGAAGTATTTTAATAATGATACATTGCTTGATTTAGATAACATTAATTTTCATATAGGTGGAAATTTGTTAATTGTACAATAAACGTGGAGGGGAGATAGAAAAAACTGTTATTAATGTCATCACCTGGAATTCGAGGATCATGGTATGCAAGCAGGTGAAGTGGCTGTCCTCTTAGCGACAACACTAAAAGCCACATCCAACCTGGTTTGTGTTCATGTCTGCAGAGGACAAATAGAACGGTCCCTTTTCTACCTGCTGCAAGTCTTACGGCGGGCACGATGACAAAACACACAGACGAACAAGAGAGGTCTAACATGTTTAATTAACCCAGATCTTATGTACATAAAAGTTTCACAGAATGAAGATATATCTACATTTTCAGGTAAACTTGAATTCTTAAGCTTAGATTTTTTTTTTCACAAACGGACAGCTGTGTCAAAAATGGCTGGGCACAAAGAGGGTAGAACTTACACAGAGGTAAAGACGCTAGGCTTGCTTGTTTATATTCCTTCTTGGCTCTTCCTGCCGTATTTCTTTCTCGTGTGGTTAGGCAGGATATGTGTCATGTATAGGCCTTCAAATGGTAGTGAGCTGGGTGGATGAGATGGCTCAGTAGGCAAAGGTGCAGAAGAACCCTCATGGTGGAAGGAAAGCTGATCCCTAAAAACGATTCATGTGACCTCCTCATGTACCTTCTCCAAGTAAATGAATAACAAAGTGTAATAAAATGCTATTTAGTAGGAGAGTAGGCAAGAGAAGATCAAGCAAACTGTTGTATTTCTGTAGTTTTGGCAATTTCCAAGATGTGCTTGGGCATAGCATTCCCTAGTCATCATTTCATGCTGTTCAGATAGTCTGCAAACTCTGTAGAAATTTTGTGGGGGAAAGAGGGGATATCACCACATTGCAAGTTAGCATGTTCCTCCAGGGTTTGAATTAGTATTTTAGCGTTCAATTCTCCCATAATGCTCATGAATGTATATTTATCTTCTCCCCCCTTTATATTTCCAAAAGTAGCTAGCCAATGAACAACTCTAAAGACTAGAAGGAGTTTTCTAGCAGCAAATTGAAACATTCTTGTCTACAGCTTTATACTGGCTCTAGGTGCATCTCCTGAAAAAATATATTATGTATTTTGTAAATGTGGTGTTTGAGGCTCAGGGAGGATAAGTGCTTTGTCAAGGTTGTGTACTAATTTGAAGGTGACTTCAGAGTCAGACAAGAACACAAATTCTTTCATTTTATTTCTTTTATAAAATACCATAGTGAATATCAAGAACTTCATAAACAAAGAATGCAGGAGGTAATAAAAGGGTGTTGGTTCTCAAACACCCTGAGATTTGGGGCAGTGGAGGCGACACATCCACAAAGATAGCCAATTGTGAGAAAGACTACAGTGGATTTATACAAGGCTTGCTAATAGACTTCCTAAGATACCTACAATGCCTCGATCAAGACCAGGAGAGGGACACGTGGCTTCAAAGAAAATCTAATGAAATATGCACATCAAGCTTAATTTAACTATAAATTTATTGAATCATGTTCATCCTTATAAGAAATAATGAAAATAGTTCTCTAATACTTTTGATACCTTAACTGTTATTAATGTGCTGTTATACCGAGTAACTGAAATTATTAATATGCTATTCTATTCAGTAAATGAAACAAGAGATGGAAATGGCCACACAGTTGGCCACTGCAGGGGCTCTATCAGGGCAGAGTGAAAGGATCTGCAGATTTATCTGGTTTGCCCCCACTAGCTCTGCAGTCAAAGAGGGCCTCAAACCAATGTGAAGTTGCCCCTCTGAGAAAAGAGAGAACTACACTGGATCTCCGGGGTGCCGTCCAGATTTCAAGCTCTGTCATTTTCTAAATTGCTACTGGCTTGGTTGGTGCATAATTCCTCTATTAAAGTTTTAATTGCCAGTTCGGCTCTGACTTTGAACTTCATGTACTTGTGGCCAATCCTCACAGAGAGGATTTAGGGCATGGCCTTTTCCCTGAGAATCATCTCACTCTACAAAATGTTGTGGATTCTTTCGGGATTTGTAAATGGAATTTGAACTAGAAGTGCCCCAAAGTAGACATAAAATTCCCAGATGACCACGATACCCCCTTATGTCCCGAGGTCATGAAGAGCCCCTTCAGTTGGGTCTTATTGTGTGTTAATAGTTCTGACCATCTTGCTGAGTAGTTCTCTCAGTCAGTCGATATAATTTCCCATGAGAAACACAAAGCTCAAGGAGGTAGGCTTTTGTGAATTTAAGCACTCTCCCAAACAAGCACAGTGGTAGCTTTGACTCTGAGTGGATGCTGTCAAAGCCATGTGGGATGTGCTGGTTCCTTGATTTTCTTCCATTTAATTAGGATTCTTAGTTCCCCGCCCTCAACATTTCAGCAGTGGGTTTCTAAGGTAAAATAGTTTGACAATTTAAGTTTAGAACAAGAGACTATATAAGATTAAATACTGCCCCAGAAAATTAGAAGCTTGAATGTGGCTCAGTGGTAGAGTTCTTGCTTATTATCTCTTGCATCCTGAGATAAATCCAAACCACACTAGAAAAAA